CACACCACACACTCACTTTCCTTGCAGGCGTGGTGGTAGGTGGTGCGCTCGTGCTCATCCCGTGCTGGTGCTGTCTTGTACCTGTGGCGCTGGCCGTTCACCAGGTGTGTGCAGCACTGGTGTCGACAGGGGAAAGTCATGTAGGTGTGTTGGGCGCTCATGGATGAAAACAAAAAGACAGCTGATAAAGCACCTCTGTACTTTGTGGGCGACTTCGGAGAAAAAGAGCGAAACGGTGGCACATTCCGATCATTCTTCCCGTCCGAGACCTTGGCTGCCCCCCTTTGTAAAACGCCTACTAAACCAGACAATAAGGGGGCAAAACCACATGAATGTGTGGCACATTCCGATGTCATGACCAATCAGGTGAAGTGTTATTCTCACTGTTCTTGTTCTCTCTGTGTGTGTGTTGCTCGTGGCTGTGTGCGATGAGTGGTGGAGAGGCTTTGCTTGGTGCAGTTCTGGACCACCAACCTCCGCCTCGAGAAAAACCGTCAACCCAGAAAAGAGAGGGAAATGGCTGGCTCGCTGACCACACGCTGCACCACCGCCTGTGCGGTAAGAACCGGGGCCACTCCCGAAAGTTAGACCAGCGACAGGAACAAGGCGAGAGAGCATTTGGTGGGGTCGGCCCTTCCAGGGCTCCTGATCGGCCCCGGTGTTCGTGAAGCCAGAGCGCTGCTGTCGGTGCCCAAAGGCCGAGCGAATTTTCGAGAGGCCAAAGTGCTTTCCCGGTTTCAATTGGCCATTGCGAGGGTACCCAATTTGCGTAGTCTTGCGCCGCCCCGCGTTTTCGCCTTGTGTTGGCGGGCGAGCTTACCGTTCGGGCTTTCTTCTTTTTCTTTTCAAACCGCCACCCCCCTTGCGCCTAGGCTCGTCCCCTCTCTTCTCTCCAGGTGAGGCTCTCTTCCTCTTAATTATCATTATCATCAGTTCGTGGGTGGGTGTGCTTCATAGTCTTCTAGCTCGCGGCGCTATCCTTCACCATCCTTTCTCCTTTTGGTTGCCCTACCCCCTTTTCTAATCTGTCTACATGCTCGCGATCCACTTGTGGCTCTTCACATTTATGAATCTTTCCGTTGAAATGCATGTTCGTTCGTAAAATAATTATGGTAACGTACCAAGATTGGACGTAATTGTCAACAATGGAACCAATTGGACACCTAGAACCTCACAATGTTCGATCAGTGCGCCCCATTAATCCTTGTTTTTCCTCATTTACGTTTCCTGTTGAGAAGAACGAGAATGGCGAGAAACGACGAGGTCGACATGGAAAATGAACTTCTCGATCTGTCGAAGGAGACTACCTATGCCGAAAAGGTTGAGCTTTTGGGCAAGCTCTTGGATTCCGAGAGCACCCTCTTCTCCAAGAAAATGCGCGATTGGCTCGTGAAGGACGGTACTCACCCCCACGCCGTTTCGTTTGTTTCCCCCCATTCCATCAAGATCGTTTCCCACATCTCCTTGGTCCTCTGTCTTCTGATCACCATCTCTCTCTCTCTCTCTTTCTCAGATGCTCTCAAGGTCCTGATCCACTACGTCACACGACCGGCGAAGACGGAGGGTCAGCAGGAAGCCACCGACAACGGGCTCCCTTTTACGATTTTGAACTCAGAAGAGTACATCATCTCCTCCAACAAGCGCCGAGACGCTCTCCTCGCCTCTGAGGCTGAGAAGAAGGAGCTGCGCGAGGTACACACCCTCCCCGAACCGACTCCCCATTGTGCCTCTGGAGAAGGCCCAAACGGGACCGATCTTTCATTTGCTCATTTCGTGGTCCCTCTACAGTTGCAGAAGCAGAATGGTGAAGAAGATTCGCTTGAAGATGAGGATGAGGACGACGATTTTGCGTTCTCCAAGGAGGCTAAGCGTGCCGACAAGGCCGCCGAAGTGTTCGTCTACCAGGCTGGCTCGCTGCCGCAGGACTTCATCGACAAGAACCTCGAAGATATTGGTATCCCCCCCCCAAAGCCTGCGCACTCCTGGTCTCGGATTGTTTGCTCATCTCGCTCCATCTGCTTCCCCCGCAATGCAGTGAAGGAGATCTTCGCCATTTTCGATATTAATGCGGAGGGCGACTTCGACAATTTTGACAAGATGTTCGCCTCGCTGTTGGGTCCCTATGGAAGCAAGGTCTTCAACGTTTTCAACAAGAACCGAAAGCTTATTCTCCACCTGCTTAACTACCTTCACGATCCGGCTATCAGGTACTCTTGTTGTTTGGGCATGCCGTTGTGTGTGTGTGTGTGCGCGCGCGCGCGTCCCTTCAACTAATGCATGCGACTTGGCTGTACAGTGAAACGCTGATGGGCGTTATCAAGGCCACGCTCCCCGATCAGGTTCTGATGAACTTTTACAACGCCCTCAACGAAGACGGTTTCTGGGAGACGCTGGGACAAAAGATCTACGGCCCTGGTACTACTCCTACAACTACACTACTTGTTGTTTTCTCGTTTTATCCGCAGCGTCGCTGATTGTCGCTTTGTTTGCTCGGTTCATCAGGCGCGGAGTCGTCATTCGAGGATGCTTCTGCTTTCTTCAACCGCCTCGTGGACCTTTGCTCGACGCAGAACAACGCCGATGTGTTGTTCCTGCACCTGAGCCAGGACATGGGCTTCCTCGATGGCCTCGTAGACTGCATCTCCAACAACTCCGGAAATCTGCCTGCCGAGCAACAGATCGCCGCCATTAACGCGCTGCGAGCGCTTCTGCTGAAGAGCGGCGAGCAGCTTTACGACACTTCTCTCGAAGCCTACACCCCCACGCCCGTGCCCAACATGCTCTCCGGCATTCATGAGGACCTCCACAACCACTTGAAGACCAGGGCCGGCTCTCTCGCACAGAGGCTTGTCGACGATGCCAAGCAGCCCAAGAAGAAGGCGGACGAGGCTGTATTTTCTACCTACAGGGTATGCACTTCCACTCCCCAACAATCCCTCTTTTGTTTTGTTCTCGCGGGAGACTGCATGTTCACAGGGTGTGTGTGTGTGTGTGTGTGTGCTGTTGGTTTAGGTCGCTTCTCGCTTCACGATCCACAGAGTCCACCTTCTGGAGGTGCTTGCGGAGCTGACGCAGCAGAACCCTCAGGAAGTGCTGGACAGCTTCACCGCCCCTCTGTGGAAGGTCCTGTCCGACTGGCTCTTTGAGCACCGGTAAGGACCCGCCTTTCTCGCGTCACGTTTCTTGCATCGGAGTGTGTGATGCCCGCTGGTCCACAATGCTGACACAACTTTGGCTTCCCTCCACGTCTTTAGGTTCAACAACATCTACCACGACCTGTTCCACAAACTGTTCAGGACCGTCATCAGGATCAACCACGTCGAGTCGATGAAGGCCCTCTTCTCGAAACACAAGTTCATCACCCGAATGATCGAGCACTACAAGACCACCAGCAGCAAGGACTCGGGCCTGCGCAGCTACATCATCCTGATGGGCAACTATGTGCGCCTGACAGCCGACGCGCAGCCACCATCCGAGTACCTCAAGTCTTTCCTCACCTCCCACGTCCAGTGGAAGGAATTCGTGCCATTGCTCAAGTACGTGCTAGCTCGCGCCTCCCTTGTTGTTCGTACACAACACCAACCGTTGCGATGTCATCGTGGCTTACGCATCTCGCGAAAACAACCGACAGGGATGACACCGTCAAGCAGTTCGTGACGGCGTTCCCCGCTCCCTCGGGCGGCCACCCCATCTCGCTGAGCCCGTTCGCCAGCGCCGAGACGTTCGGTCTGTACTCTTCCATGGCGCCCCCCTAAGCCCATCACCGAAGACGACATCGACGTCGACCTCGGGTCGGAGTGTACGCAGCTCCCCATCCACTGCCTCTCTTTGTCGTATCTCAACTTTTTCGCCTTTCGTGCCCTGACTTACGCTTCTGCTTCTTCTTCTTCTTTTGGGTTGACAACAATGACAGACGCCAACAACCTGGGCCTGGAGGACGCTTCCGTGTATGTTGAAACGAAGAAGAAGAGGAAGCGGAAAAGGAAGTCGAAGAGCAAGAAGGCCGGCGAGGATAAGGGCGAGAACGCGGAGGGCGAAGGGGAGGAGGGCGACGGCGACGACAGCGACGGATCGGACGACGAGGAGGATGAAGACGAAGAGGCTCCCGCGCTCGAGGAGGAGCCCCCCGCGCTCGACGACGAGACGCCAAACGACGGCGCCGAGTCGCCATCAAACGCCGACGCGGCCGCCGAGCAGAACAGCTCCGTCGTCGAGGAGGGCAAGAGTGACGACGCTGCTGCCGCTTCGACCGAGTCTGCCGCCGAGAGCCAGGCCTCTGCTTGAAAGTGTTAAGAGAGATCTTGATCTCTTCATTGGACACCAACGATCCCTCCCTCCATCCCAAGCCCACTTGAGCTCGTGGTGTGGGCTGTAAGGCAATTTGCCATTTTGTACCGAATTGAACTACAAAACTACTAAATCTCTATCCTACAACATTACCCACTTGTTCATCTTTGCTTGTGTAGAAACGAAACTCTGATAATCTGTCATGTTTGTAAATCGCGTATGTACAAGTAGCAAAATTGGCGGGAGAGGGAGATGGAACGTGGTCGTGCTGCACCTCATCTGGCTTCGGCGACGGTGTGGGAGCGCATGACGGGCTGGAGCACGTCGACGACCTCGCGCAGGCCCTTGGCGGTGGCCAGCTCGATCGCCATGCCGATGTGTTCCTTCTTGAACTGGAAGACCTTCGAGGGATCGCGCAGGATGGACTCCACCATGTGCACGAAGCCGCGCTCGGCGCAGTAGTAGAGATTGCGCGCCGACTTGAAGGGCCAGAACACTCGCAGCTCGCGTAGTCGGTAGAGCACGACCTCCTTCATCTTCCCGTTCGGCACCAGCCCCATCTGGCCGGTCTGGTCATCATCCTCTTCATCGATGGCTCCTTCCGTTCCCTCCATCTTCGTCGTGTCGTCCACGTCAGCAGGGGCGAACATGTTCAGTTGATGAGAGGAACAAATTGTTCCATGTTCGGCGAGGAGGGACGACCAGGGGTCCTGGCCACCGAAGATTTGAGAGGCGACGTCGCGCCAGAAGGCGTCCGTGGCAGTCAGCGTTCGCCACTGCCGATTGACGATACACACATGCCGCACGAGGTCCTCCACGGGGACGCGGCTGAGGACCTGTAGCTGCATCTCGATGGGCAGCATCTTGGAGAACAGGTCCTCGGTGCAGCCGCGATCGTTGATGGTGGTAATCGATTGAAGAGGAGGGACTTCGTCCATCGTCATCTTCGATGGGAGAAAGCTCGAGATTTCCTCGCTCTTTTTCGAGGCCGGGTGTAGAAGATGGAAGGCTGATTGTTGAACGAGTTGCGAGCGCACGCCATGGGAGGTTTTATGAATCGAGATGAAGAGACAAGACGAATGGATTCTTGATTGCGGTCGAAGGCGAGGGATCTGAGCCAGGCTTTCTCCCCCACGAGCCCCAATTCCCACCCAACTGCTGCGCGGGTAAACCTGCAGAGGCGAGCCAAATTTCCAGCATAAGTTATCGTGGTCCCCCACTATCTTGCCACCGGCTGTGCTCTCTCTCGCAACAAACCCGTGAGCTCAGCTTCGGGCTCATGTTCGCCTCTGCCACCACCGCCGTCGAGGTGTTGTCTCGCCCTGCCGGCTGTGGCAGGCACTGGTGCTCTCTGCACTCTGCGCCAGCATCCAACCTCAGTGCCTGTGGCTACGAGTGCAGGCTTGCTGCTGGCGGTCGATGGTTGTTGGACGAGCGGAAGGGGCGGTGAGAGGTGGTGGTTCACTGCTTGGAGGAACGGCTGGGAGCAGCTGGCGGAGGAACGCGAGTGAGAAAAGGTCCGCTAATGCAAAAGAAGAAGAGAAATGGGACATTAGCGGAGGCCTTGTTTGCCCCCGCCGGCGTGAGAAAGATGGAGGTGCAGCCAATGCAGCGCACGTTCAGCATCAGGCAGTACCAGCCTGCGGACCATGACCGCGTCGTTGAGCTTTTCGTCCAGGTGCTCAAAATCACATAATAATCCTGTTTGAATCATTTTTTTTTTCAATCTTTCATGTGCTGTTGATGATGATGCTCACGCTGGCGCAAAAACAGGGCATGCGAGAGTATGTAGACATCATGCCCGCGCCCAGGCGTGAAAGCTTTACTCCTCTCGTACCTCCCTCCTCTCCTGCTGCTAATGAGCCTGCCGACTGCTACAGCTGCGCTGACGTGTTGGGTGGCTGTCGACCTCTCCAGCTGGACAAGTACATCGAAGACTCGATCGCGGACGACCTCGCGAACGTGGACAAGGTCTACTTCAACCGCACGGAGGGACCCAAGGGCAACTTCTGGGTCATCACCGAACAGACCGAAGGTCTCGCTTCTGCTCTTCTCTTGTGCCCCGCGTCATCTCGCTCATCTCTTTTCTCTGCACTGATGCGCAGGCGGAGAGGTGGTCCAGGGCATGGTCGGCTTGGAGTACAAGAGCGACCAGGATGCCGAACTGAGGCGTATGAGCATCTCCAAGGACGCACGCCGACAGGTACCGCACCGCCACACATAATGTGGCCATGACGCGTCTGCTGCTACTCACTGCCTCCTCGTTCGCACTGCGCTTGCGCCGCGCCGTGTGTCATGTGTGTGTCGTGTGTCGTGTGCGTCGTGGGTCATGTGTGCGTTGTGTGTGTGTCGTGTTCCTTGATTCAGGGCCTGGCCAAGAGGCTGCTGGACCATCTGGTGGCGCACGCGCGGGAGCAAGGCTTCGAGAAGGTGGTCCTCACCACGGGCCAGCACATGCCGCAGGCCAACACCATGTACTCCGTGTACGGCTTCAAGAAGGTGAAGGAGGACCCCATCGTCGTGTGGTACGAATACGTCATCCCCAAGCTGTCCCAGTAAAGAAATTTTGCTTGTACAAAAAACATTTCCTCTATCTTTCTTTTCTCCTTTTTAGGTTTACTGTTTTCTTTTTTCTTTGTTGTTCATCAAAACGGCCATTTGGTTGAAGTGAGTTACCTCCATCAAGCCCGCACCATGGGCTTCCAGCAGCGACGGACAGTGTACTGGGTGGTTGCGGTCGTGCTGGGTCTGGTCGTTATTTTGCACGCGAGTGGGGCGGCGTCCTGGCTGCACGGACCCAAGTCAAAGGTGGTGCACCTGACCAAGGACAACTTCCGGGCGCTGGTGGTGGAGAGCGGCCTGGCGGCGGTGGTCGAGTTCTACAACTCGCAGAATCCGATCTCGATCAACACGGGTCCCATCTTCGACGTGCTGGCCCTGGATTATGGTGGATTGATGACCGTAGGCGTGGTAAACATGGACGAGGAGAAGGAGCTCACCTCCTTCTTCAGCCACCCAGAGCACAACGTACCCTTCGTTGTACTCTTCCCTCCTGGTACCCCCCCCTCGACCAAGCACCTTGATGTGCTTTTTTTTTACATGTGTGCATGCTCGGCATGTCGTGCGACAGAGCGGGAGGTGGTGGAGCCGGGCGTGGAGCCGCGCGAGAAGGGGCCATTCGCGGGGAAGGAGTTCACCTACTACATGGGACCCATCGAACCCAGGGAGCTGGCAGACTTTGCCCTGTCGCCGCTGCACGACCGCTACGTGGTGCGCGTGACGGAGGAAAACCGCGTCGGCTTCCATGACGAGGCGGGCATGCCCAAGGCCTTCTGGTTCAGTGACACCAACTCGAAGCCGCCGGTGCTGGTCCAGGCCCTCTCACAGGCCTTCCAGGGGCGCATGAAGGTGGGCTACGTGCGGCGCAACGAGGCGGGGGTGTTCGCCCACTACGGCATCCCGCAGGACCAGGTGCAGCTGCTGGTGATCGGCAAGGACTGGCAGATGCACCACTACGGCGGCCGGCCCACCGCCCACCGCATCTTCCGCTTCATAGACAAGCACGCACTTCCCAGAGCCACCCACGATGACTCGCTCGACCCACCACCATCGCCCACCAAGCAGGGCAAGGACGAACTCTAACACGTTGGAGTTTGTCGTGGGTGTGTTTAGTCAACGCGGCAAATATGTTACCTTAGTTCCAGGAGTTCCAACATGATTTTAAGTTCATGCACGTTAAGGTGGCCGAGCGTGTTATTGACCAATGGCGGGGGATACATTGTTACGTCAGACGTGTCGTTGGCCTAGTCGCTAAACCGTAGGGGGTCTATCAGTTGCTCGGGCATCGGGTTATGGTAGCGCACCCTCGCGCCCTTGTTTTGCCCGCGAATTTCACGCCCACGAGGAGAAGGAGCGTAACGGGCTTGTGTGTCTGTTGATGGTTATTTATTTGTGTGCTTGTGGCTGGTGGGCCAAGCACACGCGTGTAAGAACACTAGTGGTACAACTTTCTTTCTGGGTGGAATCGATAGGGTCACTCACCCTGCACGAAGACCGAGCCGAGGCGCGAGACAAGGCACAGTCCGCCGGCAGCACAGGTTGGCGGCGGCAGCGACGACGGCGCGCTGCTGGCGGCGGGGACCGAGACTGGGATGGTGGTGGGTTCGTGGAGGAGGAAGTGGGAGTAGGTCTGGTGGAAGCGCCACGTCTGGAGCAGAGGGTAGTACACCGGCGACGGCCACCGAAGCACCACCTTGCGCTGCTGCTGGTGGTGCGAAGGAGTGGTCGTGGTGTTGATGTTGTCGGCGGTGTTGAAGGTGTTGTCTTGGTCGTCGACGAGGAAGAAGGTGCCGGCTTCGATCTCGAACGAGTGGAGGAGCGTGCGGCCACGCCAGAACTGGTAGCTGAAGAAGAAGGCCGACCCCTCGAACCGGAACTGCTCCAGCGACTTGATCTCCTCAACACTGTCCTCTTGCTGGTGTTGAGGCTGAAGTGGTTGTTGCTGCTTGGCGTAGCGGGCCTCCTTGACAAAGATGAAGCCCGAGAGCGGAGACGACTCGGTCGAGGCGGCGGCGGCGGACAGGAGCGAGAGCGAGGAGGAGGCGGCGTGGTGGTGCTTCTTCTTGAGCTTCTTCTCCTGGTGCTGGTGGTGGCGCCGACGGCTGCTGTTGCTCGTCCGAGTAGCGGATAAGAAAGAAGATGAAGTAGAAGATGGCGAAGTAGAGGAAGATGAAGAAGGCGGGCTCTTGCGCTTCTTGCTCAACAACGTTGAGTCCGACCTGGAGCTGGTGTTGTTGGGGTGGAGGGGATGGCGTACGCCCACGAACGCGTCACCGGCATCGAAGTAGCTGTCATCCTCCTCGCCCGCCGCATCTTCGTCCTCCTCCTCCTCGTAGATGTTGTTGTTGTGCTCCCCACCTCGTTCGTCTCCGTCTTCGCCCTCCTCGAGCGCGTTGCGGAGGTCGTCCTCTTCGCCATCGTTGTCCGCCGCGTCGTCGCTCCCATGAGGCGAGTGTTGTCGTCGCGACAGTTGTTGTAGCGGAAGATGATGATGATGAAGTTGTTGTTGTTGATGAAGCTGCTTGGCCCTGGCGGTGACACCACTCGACGAGGGCGGTGGCGGCCTGTTGATGGCGGGGAAGGCGGCCGGGTCGGCCAGGGCGTCTTCGAGCCGCTTGACGAGCACATGCTTGAGGCCCGACGGCGACAGGCCCCTCTTCTTGAGCTCTGTCCGCAGCTCGACAAGCTTGAGGTTGGCCGGGACCATCGCCTCCTCGTACGAGGCGGCGGAGGCGGAGCGTCGCTGTTGCTGTTGATGGTGGTGTTGTTGGGTGCTGGCGTGCGTGTCGTAGCGCTGTCGAACGTCCATCTTGATCCTCGCTGTAGTGGGCGGTGTTGTTGTTGTTGTCGGGTCAGTGTTGATGGCGAAGAAGCAGTTGATGGGGTCTCGGACTGGTGTTGTTGTCGCGAGGTGTGTTGGTGTTGTTGTTGTGGAGGCGTGTTGGTGTCGAGGACAGAAGATGGATGGTGTGTACTCGCTTAGCCGAACACTCCTTCGCTGCACGCTCTGCGTGTGTGGTGTCAAAGAACAAGAAGAAAACCAGAGCGTGTTGGTACTCCGCCTTCCAGCTCTGCGCCGGCGGCCACAAACAAGGGAGTGCCGCAAGCCGTTCACCGCCCCGGCCGGAACGAAAACGCGCATGACGATGTCGCGCGTAGTGGTTCGACGTTTATCCACCAATTGCGCGATCCGCCAACAACGTCTCGTCTGTCGTTGGTTGATACAATTCGAAAATTCCCGCCAATTAGCAGCGCTTCAGTGAACGATATGACTCCGAGAAGGTGATTAGGAAAGAAGTCGATGCACGGCCTCCGGATTGGCTGGGATGCATCGACGGTGACTGCTGAGCAACGAGGTCCGGTTGGGTCCAACGCAGGTTTAGGAAATGGGCGGAAGGAGTCAGGGCGAACAAGATGCCTAGCATTCTTGCGGCAAATTAAAGTCCCGGCCAACAGGGAGCAGCTGAACATCCCGCAAGATAGAAGGTTCCTGTTGGCCGGGACAATAATCATATTTTATGATGTTGGTTGGTGTGTGAATGTGCTGGCCATACTTCCACACATGTGGCCAACAAAGCTAAAGAAGGTTGGTTCTGCTGAATGATACCCTGAATGATACCACACAGGGGTGCTCCTCATGAGGAGAATGTTTAACCAAGTGTTCACAAAAAAGGGTCAGTAACTCTTTTTCACTAACAGCCCACCAATGCAGGTGTCATGGCAGAAAGCTCTGGCCTGGGCTCCAGGCCATTGGGTCCTGTGTACACAGCAAGGTGCCAATGCCAGTGGAGGAGCAAGGGTAGGAGTACAGTCAGCAAGAGAAGGAGTCCTCACCAGGAACTCCCAGCTCAGAGCCTCAGCAATTCAAGGACAAGATCAGTGCACAGTACAACAAGAATGGAGAACACAAAGTAAGATGGTACATGCCAGCCTCTCTCTTCCTCTTGGATATTAACATATGTTTTTGACTTGTTGGCAGTGTCCACAAGCTCAAAGCTTGGGCATCATTTTCAGAAAATGTATAGAAGTGGAGGATGTTATTGAAGAAGGAATGACAAAGGCAGAATCCCGTTTTATGTACAGATTTCCCACCTGATGTGCAATTGGATTGCAATTTTGCCAAAATATGTGCATTTTTAAGGTATGCATTTTCTACACATTTTCCATTCACATTTCTCAGATTTTGCATTGAACTGGTCAAAGTGTACTCATGACACCATTTGTTTCTGGAGGGTGTGCAGATACTGGTGTTACAGCCCTAACAATCTGTACATGCTGCCAGATAGTGCCTGATGCACTGTGTGCAGACTCCAACATTGAGTGATGGGACCTACAACACACAGGTGATGCACTTGATCACTGGGTTTTGTTGCATGACTTGGTTGGGCGCTCTGGGCTCCATGTTGTCACACAAGGAGGCAATCTGTATAGACAAATTAGCATGTGTTCCTCCCCCTCCCTGTTGTTGTTGTCCCCTCCTCTGCCTCCTTTACAACAACACCAGTTCCAGCTATCCAACACACACATACCTTGTAGTGACCAATCTCTTCTTGGTGGATCCTGTGTGCTGGCACAGCCTCAGTCTTGCTGGGGGCTTGCTTGCTTGTGATGGTCTGGGGCAGGTGGACCAGTCCCAGACCTCTCTCATGGTATCCTTTATTTATTTTGACAACCACTTCTGCCACCTGTGCCACCTGTCTGGAGAGTTAGCCTGTCTATGATGCCACATTTTCAGGCTGCTGTGCCCTCAACTAGTTCAAGTAACACAGACAGTGGGGGATGTTGTTGTTTTTTTTTTTTTTGTCTTTTTTTACACCAGGCAACTTTTCTTGCTCAGCCATGTTTGCTGCTCAGGAGAAGGAGTTGCCTCCACCTCTGGGCGCTGGCCCACACGGCCGCAGCCAGATTGTGGACTTCTCTCTTCTCCCCAACGAGGTAGACCCCTTCACCATGCTGCAATGCTACCCTCCCCCTTTCCTCACCCCCCCCCTTTTTTTTTTAAAGGTCGCTGAACATATACTGTGCTGGTTGGACGCAGCCGACCTTGGGGCAGCCTTGCTTGTGTGCCGCCAGTGGGCGGCCCTCATCACCGCCCTACCCGCCTGGGCTGGTGCCTCCCCTCCCCCATGCCCCGGTGGGCTTCAGCGAACTGTGGTGTCGCCAACGCGGAGCGTGTGTCTGTGTGTTTTTATGTCCGAGCGCAGAGGCCAAAGCAGCACACGACCGCAAACAGCGATGGGGCCTACGCGTCCCGTCCAGGCGATTGGCAACGCAAGTGGAGGAGTGCGTTTGCTCCAATCATTGCACGTTTGTGTGAATTATCAGCTGGTGGTGATGTGGCTGCTCTTCCCCACCAGATATCGCATTGCGGTGACCGGCCCGGGCGGCGTCGGTCGCTGTGCATTCACCGAGCGCTTCATCACGGGCATCATGCCCACTCAGGTACCCCCTCCCTCTCCACGAAATGGTCCGGGTTGGGAACTGACATCGCAGTGGCGCATTCGGTCTCATTCCCCCCCCCTTGTAGTACAACCCGGTGATTGAAGACGAGTACGTTCCCCCACTCCTCCTTCTAGACCAGTCGCGGTTCTGGGCTCTCGGAGCTAAACGGACCTGAACACAGTTATCGCAAGCAGCTGACCGTCGATGGCGTGACGGCCGTAGTGGACATCAACGTGTCCGCCGGCCAAGAGGAGTACCTGGCGCTCGTACAGCAAATCCTGAAAACCCGTGAGGTATTCGCCACACCCACCCATTGCGCGCCACCGGTCATAGGTGGTTGCTCACTGCTGCGACCACCCTCTACACGGCAGGGGTTCGTGGTGATGTATTCAGTCACGGATCGCAGTTCGTTCGAGCGGGCGAAGGATTACCTGAAACTGATCCATCGGATCTTTGACACCACCCCGGCCACCGCGCCGCCCATCATCGTGCTGGCCAACAAGCTCGACCTGGTCGCCAATGGAAGCACCTGGGACACTCGCGTGGTCACGCCAGACGAGGTGCGTCCTTTGGGTGGATGTACTCTGGGCCTCGTCACGATTGGAATGCCAACCGTTCTTCTTCGCTCTTCGTTCTTCTTCGTTCTTTTGAACGCACGCAGGGCAAGAGGCTGGCCGACAAGTGGACGGCCTACTCGTGGGGTCTGGGCGCGGATTCGCAGGCGGCCGAGTACCACTTCCGCCGCAACTTCTTCGAGTGCTCAATCGAGGAAGCCTACTTGGTCGAGTACGCGCTCACCGGCGCGCAGCTGCCAGCCAGCGCGTCAGCGGCGACCGGAGAGACCGTTCTTCCGCCCGAGGCGGCGCCCCACGGCGAGTGGGAGGTGCACGACATTGGTGTGGTCGTCGACGAGATGGTGCGTCAGATCGACATGTGGCGCCGCGCTGTGAGCGAAGGCGGCGCGGTCCACGCCCAGGGCAAGAAGGAGAGGAAAAAGAAGAGAGGCGACAAGGACAAGAAGTGTCTGCTCATGTAAACCGAACCGTTGAAAATGCCCATAAAATTGCACAAATAAATACTTGTTTTGTTTGCAATAATTTTACACCTCAACAAAAAATAAAAATAAATTGAACACTCTTGAAGGAAAAGATAGGGGGGGAGAAAGGAGTGAATCGTGGAGTGGTGGCACTGGCCTCGTTTGTTGTGTCTTCGACGCTCTCTTCTTCAGGTTCTTCTCTTCGACGTCTTGTCGTCCGTGTGGTGGCGGAAGCCGGGCGGAGGGAAAGAGGGAGCGTTGAGCGGCGACGGGGAGGGGGTGGGCGAGCGAGAAGGAAGGGGCGGCGAGTTGGACGATGAGCACGACGATTCCAAGTCCGATTCGGAGCGGTCGGAGTCAAAATCGGCGGTGGCGGACCACTGTCGGGCGGGCGGTGCGGGCGCTGTTGTCGTTCTTTGGCGGTGTCGCTCTTCGTTCTTTTGGTCCCGTGTCTCCTTGCGACGCGTCATCATCTTCTCCTCGCTTCGTTGCATTTCGTCCAGCGGTCGCACTTCGTCGTCGTCGCTGCCGGCACCATCGTTCACTCGGCTGCTCTCACTCTCGGTGGTGTTAGCGTTCATGTTGGTGTGGGCGTTGTGATAGTGGCTGCTCGCTTCGCTTTCCACCAGCACCCCCTCGTCGTCGTCGTCGTCGCTGTCCTCCTCCCGCTCTTCCCCGCTGTCGCTGTCGCTTCTCTCTTCGGCCCTCCTCCTCCTCGCGTTCTGTACACTGTGGCCGTCGTCGCCATCGTCGTATGTCGTCGAAACGCCGGAGGTGGTGAACGACGACGGGTCGGTCTCGTGGCCTCGACGCGCATGGCCTCGACCGTTGTGTTGTGGCGTCCAGCCATTCACACTGCAGGGGAAATGGAGAAGCAGGAGAGTGCGGGCGACAGAGAGACGGGGAGAGAGACCGAGGGCGAGAGGGACCAGGGCGAGGCCAGGGATACAATATTGAGAGTTGAAAGAAGAGGAAAAGAGAGAAAGAGAGAAGGTGGAGTGGAAGTAGGAACACAAGAGGGGTAGAGGCATGTGTGAGAAAAAGAGGGGAAAAAAGAAAGAAAAGAAAGAAAAGAGATTGGAGAGGGAGAGATAGAAGGGAGAAAGAGAGAAAGAGGCCATCTTTCGCTCTTAGTAGCCATTTCTGAAGGGAGCCAGAAAGAACGAAAGAGGCGAGGAAAGAGAGAAGCGAAGAAGAGAAGAAGAGAAGAAGAGAGGAGGGTCGGGTTAGAATAAAGAGAGAAGGAAAGAGGAAATAGAAAATAGAGGGCAGAGAGGAGAAGATAAGAACGAAGCTTGTGCACGTGACGATGATAGTGGGGGCACGTGCGCGGCCGGTTGTCGATATAAAAAGGGGAGTGAGAGAGAGTAGGGAGTATGGGCGTGACGTACTTGAAGAAGGCGTAGTTGTCGCTGGACGCCTGGCCGGATGACGCGTCGCTGCCCTGGCTTTGGTACTCGTAGCCGCTATCGTCCTTCACCACACTGGGAGGGAGAGGCGGCTGCTCGTATCCGGCGCCATACGACACCGTGTAGGCTCTGCAACAGAACGCGCGTAAGTCACCACACACACGACACACGCGCGACACGACACGACACACGCGAGCGCGTAAGAGAGGCGAGTACCGGTCTCTTTCGCCGGCACGATCGTAGGGGTTGTACTGAGTGACCGACGCGGATCTTCCTCTATCGCCGCGGCTGTCCTCAAGGTCGACCTCCTTCTGGATGTCCCTGATGATGTTCAGCGCCTCCTTAAAGTCCGGTCGGTCGTTGGGGTTCGACTTGCAGCAATCGATCACCAGCTGCTTCAGCCGGGGCGGGCCTGCGCGTCGATAGATCAAATGAAAAAAAAAAAAACAGTATTAGCCCTCGCGCATTCCCTGTTGTTGGCCCATTGGGGGCGAAAGGCGTACAGCCAGGGGGGATGAGCTTCTCGACCGCCCTCAGGTCGAAGGCGTAGTGGGTCTTCTCCTTGCGCATGGGCATCTTCTTGCGGGCCACGATCACTGTGAATGTTTTTTTCGTTATTATTATTAGTTCACCATCGCCACAGCAACGCGACGCAACCAATTGGGCCACACGAGGCGGAGGAGACGGTACCTCCGAGCAGTACGCCAAAGCCGAACACGTCGCACTTTTCGTCGTACTTCTCACCGAGGAGGACCTCGGGCGCCATGTAGTCGTCCGAACCGGCGATGGTCATGTAGTTCATCTTGTTCTGCGTACGCGCGAGACCCTGTACGCGACCGCTCGGAGTTAAAAAGAAGAAGAAAAGCGAACGCGATCGCACATGGCGTGGCCGGCACGGTTGGGCCGGTGGGTCGGAGTGAGCGTACCAGATCGCAGACTTTGATGCGACCGTTCTCTGTGAGCAGCAGGTTCTCGGGCTTGATGTCTCTGCGAGCGCGATTTAGGGCATGCATGTGTGAGCGGTCATTGGTGGGGGCTACATTGAGAGCTACGCGCGACAGAGGTGGGTTACCGGTAGACGAGGCCCTTCTTGTGCATAAAGTTGAGGGCGACGGCGATGTCCATGGCCATCACCACGCGCATCTTCCACGGCGGGTCGTTCCGCTCGAGGAAGTCCTTCAGGTTGCCCCCAGCGACGAACTCGGTGACGAGGTAGGTGCCCGATTCGTGCTTGCAGAGGCCCATGAACTGGACGATGTTGGGGTGGTGGATGCCCCTGCGAACACGCACACACAAATTTGCCCGTCAGCGAGAGGGGCTTGGTTGGCTACCAAAAAAAAAAAAAAACTGACGGGGAAGAAGTAGCGGGGGGGGGGCGCACTTGAGGAGGGCCACTTCGCGTTGGATGTATTTGTTGAGGTGCTCCTGCTGCAGGTTGTTGGCGGCGTTGAGCCTCTTGATGGCCACCACCGTGCCGTAGTAGTCGCCCCTGAACACCGTACCGAACGCTCCGCTTCCAATTTCCTGAAGCGGCGAACAAAGGTTCGTTAGCAACGGGACAGGGGGGGGGTGATAGTCACAACTGTGACGATTTGAGGAGTTGATGTGATTTGATTTGATGCGGGTTCTCCCTGTATGTCAAGGGGGGAGGCTGTACCTCGGCAAACTCCAAGTCGTCGTAGTTAATCGTCCATTCCTCCTTGACAACACCACCCTCGACCGGTTGCTGTACGTGGGGGGGGGAACAAACATGATTCGATGAGAACCAAGTCATGCAATCTTTTGTTCGGGCATCGCCTTCGTTCTTTGAAGATCAAAGGTATTGGGGGGGGGGGGTTACCGCTTCGTTCTCCTTGGGACTATCCGACGACTTTCGCTCGGGCGGAGGCGTCTTGGGCACCGTCTTCTGCTTCTATCACGGGGGTTGTGGTTTGTAAGTTAGATATCTTCTCCTCGCATCTTAATTCGACATCAGCTGGTTGCCCACTTCGCGTAATCGTGCCACATCTCGTTGAGACAACCAAAGAATGAATGAATGAATGGATTGGAAGCGGCGGTAACGTGAAGCGCGTACCCTTCGGCCCAAAAAGTTCTTCAACATCTTGACGTCGGTGGTGGATTATTACAATGGGCCTGGGAGGCTGGGGCCGGATTTTTAAGCCGATGTGTGGAAGCGGCCTCAGAAGACAGAAGAGAATAAGACTCCTCTCTTCCTTTGTCTTTGTCTTCGTCCTTGCTTGCTAGACTAGTCTTCCTGGTCTTTGAGCTTGAAAGAAAGAAAGATGGTGAGGTGTTTTAGGTTGCTGTGGCGCTTGAGCCGCGCAGCCAAGGCCCACAAAACGTCTCCGCTAAAAATTCAAAGCCGACCATCGCCCTGCACGCGCAAGCTAATTAATTAGTTGCCTGACTCCGCCGCACAGTGTGCACTGGGGTGGTGGTTTCCGGCCAGGGCCATCAGCACGCAAGGGCCTCACACTGTCATGCGACCCAAGGCCTTCCTTCCACCCAGTCTGGACCAGCAGGTCACTCCCTGGCTGCAGCACGTGCCGGATGGCCGAGAGGGTTGATTTCTGTGGACATTTTTTTTGGCGGGAACGTGAAAACAGGGGCGACAAACGCGCGCAAGATTTTTCATTTGAACCACATCACACATCGGGGCAAGCGATCTCCCCTGTTTTAGCTCGATGAATCAGTCAGCTGCGATGACCCCCTCCGCTATGTTGTCACGATCCCAGCCGCCTCTTACTCCTTCCTTCGCGGCATCCGAGCAAATCAGCGATTCGACTAAGTTGCAAATCGCCTGCACTTGGCTGAAGGAGGTGCTCGGCAAGGATGGCGATGTGCCCCCCTTCGAGATCAATTCGCAGACCGTAGATGTGCTCTTTGGGCTGGCCCTCTTCAACAAGCAGCGAGAAGTCGATGTCCAGCTTCTAATTGAGGATGCACACGAAAAGGCTGCTCATTACAAACAAGAAGGTACGCCAAGATCAGAATCATCGAAACTGTTTGTGTTGCTTGCTGTTGTATGCGTTGGGGCTCACCTCCAACTACGCCACAGCCGACAAGATGGAGAACATCATGTCCACGATTGGCCTCTCCATCGATAGATTGCCGCCAGCAGGTGTGACTAGTCTCGCCAGCTTGGCTTCCCTTGCCCTCACGCTTGACACGAAGGACACCAGCCTCGCCAGGTGCTCACATCATGCCCTCTTCTTTCGTCTCTTACACTGCTGTGTCCAACCTGTGCCAGCTTGTCCTTCTTGGTGTGCAGCTACTACCTGAGCCTGCAAGACCTCGATGAAGAACTGCACGACGTCAGCAAGAAGCGTGAGGAACAGCAGGCATCGCTTTCTGGTTTGCTGGAGAAGACGCGTTTGGCTGTGGCTCGACTCGACAAGATGAGCAAGTATGGCGCCCGACCCCAACGCGCTCTTTATCTTCATATGTGTCAATGATCTGTGGTGGCCGCCCTTAGATCGTTCTCTTACGCTGAGCTTTGGCCGCGGTGTGTAGAACGCTTCTAGAGTACCAGGGCGAATCGGATCAGCAGAAGCAAGCGATGAATGAACGAATGTCCGAGGTGAGGTATCTTCAGGGCAAGACCGCCGAGTGTCACGCCACCATGCAGAAGCTCAAGGTAGTGTCCTGTATTCATCGCGTCTCCGATTCCTGCTTCTACTACTACTTCGATTGTGCTTGTGAGCGTACATCTCACAGCCACCGTCCCCTGCACACAGGAAGAGATTAGTGCAAGTGGAGTGTCGAACGAGATCACGCATTCGGCGCTAGTCAAGGTACTATGCCAACCCGTGCGCACTGGTTCAGCTCGATCCCTCTCATTTCTCTGCTCTTCCCTTCTCACTCGACAACACAGCTCAACAAGGAGTGGAAGGTGGTGCACGAGAAGACGGAGCCCCTGTTGGAGAGCTTGAAGAAGTATCACCAACTGCCACCGGTTCATTCCCTCACCACCCACCCACAAACCAACAACATCCAAGAAGCTTCTCGCTCATTACCGAGGCTGATGGTGTGTGTTTACATTGGTTAGGATGCTACGTTGGCCAAGATCAAGATCGACGACGCCAGGCGAGAGGTGGCCCGGCTCAACCAGCAGATTTCGGACACGCTCGCGCGGATGAACATCTCCTACCACTGATGGCGGTGATGCTCATCATTCTCCTTGCTCCTCTCGCCTCAAACGGCTTGGTGGAGGTGTCATCGCTCAAGCGCGAATGGCCAGCCAGGATCGAACGATTCTTTGTACAGATGAGACGAACAACAACAACACGCGGTTGCTTGTGTGAGGGGCTGAAGCGCTTTCCGCCCACTCGACATGATGACACCATAATCGCCGTCGCCGTCGCCTCCATCGTCATCTCTATCTTCATCTTCGCCGCTGGCTCCTCAAGCGTAGGGGAGATCGCGCTTGAGGGGCGTACGCTCGGAGGTGAGGTAGCGACGCAGGCCGACGTCGTCGTAGTCATCATCGTCTTCTGGGAAGGGCTGAAGCATCTCTCGAGGGCTCTCCGGGTCGACGTAGCCGCCGTTGCGCGGGATGAAGACGTCGTACTGGAGGAGACGAGAAGAAGATGAAGGTGAGTGGGGAGGGGCTGCGGCGTAGCGGGAGGTCTTGTCTTGAGGTGGTCGGTCAAGGGTACCTTGTGAAGGAGGTGCATCTCGACCCACACCATGATCGGCTGCGAGATGACGTACTCGATCAGCAGCGCGATGGCCCACTTCAGCATGACGAACCTCACGTCGCACTGTACATGTGGACAGACACCAGCGGACGATTCAGTCTGAGAATCTGGAAGTGCGTAGTGGGCGCAATCTCGCGTACGAAGAGCAAGAGGGGCACGTACCTGATGGTAGAAATCGGAGCAGAAGTAGAGGAGGATGGGGAGGACGATGGCGAGCGTGGCCAGGGCGCACAGGTCGTAGAGGCAACAGGGCTGGACGCTGCGCTGGCGCGCTCGCTTGAGGATGGAGTCGAATCGGAAGAGCCAGACAAGGAGCATGGAGGTGACGGCGCCTTGCACAACGCGAACGATGAAGTTGATGGACCAGTTGATGCTCTGCTCCTCGATGCAGCCCTCCTTGTGGAACTGGATCGACGTGAGGGTGAGCACGATCACCGAATTGAAGGCCCAGATGAAGATGCGGGCCGATCGGGTGAAGGGGTCGTCGGGGTGGACGAAGAAGATGCCCAGCACGAAGTGGTCGTGCTTGAGCTTCTGCCAGTAGGTCGGCCGGGGCTCCTCGTCATCGGCCGACGAGAAGAGCCGCCATCTGCAGCATCGGTATCGGATAATTTGAAAGAGCCACACGAGAATGTAGAGGCTGCCCCACACGATGAGCCACACCAGGTCGCCCGTTCCTATCTCCATCTCTCACTCTCGAACGTGTTTGAATTGATTAAGCCTTTTCTTTTTCTGTTCCTTTTATTTTGTTCGACGGAAGTCAACTCTGTGAGCACAGTCCAGAAGTCGTACCCCCGTGGGGAACAAGCTTGGGGTGTCAAGGGAAGCGGCTACCTACCTCGCATGTGATGGAGGGTCGACCCCTGTTAGGGACACACCTCATGTTGAACGCACCTCCTCTCGTCTTCAACCACTTCGTTTGTTGAAATGAAATTGTTTTACATCTGATTTCCTGGCTTTTGCTTTTTTCATTTCTCAGTGGTTGTCCTGGCTGCCGTGACACCAAAAGCAAAGGTTGTGGAGCGAGCCACATCAGCTGATCCATTGTCACATCCCACGCTTCAGACATGTTCAGACGCTCGAAAAAGGGGAAGGACGAGAAAAAGGACAAGAAGGATAAGAAGGGAGGCTCTTCCCCCACTTCATCTCCCTCCTCCTCGGCCAGCCCGCCAGCTTCCTCCTCCTCGGCCTCACCACACCCCACTGCCATCGCGGCCTACACCTCCCCCACCGGGGAGGAGTTCGACGACAAGCGCGTGTCGCTCCCGCGCAGGGTCAAGCCCGGTGCCAAGACCGCGCTCCCCGACCCCTCCCCCGCCAGCCCACCCGCCGGTACCCACCCACCTCCTTCATTCTTTGCCCCCCCCCCCGCGTCTTCGTTCTTTTTCGCTCTTTTTCGTTTTTCTTTTTCTCTGGCTTGGGCTGGTGGTGCGAGAACAGTGGTGTGGTGGTGGCTCAGCTGCGGTGTGGTGGAGGCGGCGGTGGCGCA